CAGTGTTCCAAATTCTACTGATCTGATCTTAAGACTATTACTAAGGAGTGTTCTAGTATGAGACACATACAAGTTACAAGTAAAAATATGGCAAAGAGATAGAATGAAGTAGGAAGTTTGAAAGATATAGATGGTCGCTGAGGAGGTGGCATTAGAGTCCTGAATTAAATGACAGAAAAAGCCATGGGAAGGTCTGCTGGAAGAGAATAGATTAAGCTTGGCATGCTTAGGGAAATCAAGAAGGCTATCATTAGGTAAGAATGTGCAAGCAAAGATTGTATATGATTAATAAGTTGAGGACAAATCAAATAACATCTTATTAGGCCTTAGTAAATGCTGTAGTCTGGATATGGTTTAAGTGTATTCCCCAAGGAGCACAGGTTAAAATTTAATTTCTATTGTGAGATACTAATCTGATTATGGTTTTTTATAGGCAGGATCTTTGGGAGATGATTGGGATTAGATAAGGTCAGTGGGGTGGACTCTCCCATGACTGAATACTAATTAGATTATAGGAAGATGGAGAGAGGGCTTGGGGTATGGTTCATGTGTTAGAGAGCCTGCTGAGCAAGTGCAAGTTGAGTTCAAACCCACTAACACTCCCTCTCACGCACACAAAAAAAAGAAAAAGAAGAGAGAAAAATGTACTATGTTCATCAGACTTTTTGTCACTGTGACAAAATACATCTTAAGGGAGGAAGGATTATTTTGGCTCATGGATTCAGTAGTTTTATGATTGGCTGGTTCCACCACTGTGGGACTGAGGCAAGGTGGAGCCTCATGGAGGGAGGAGTCAGGTAGTAGAACGAAACAGCTTACCTGATGACAGACAGGAAGCAGAGAGCAGAATGCCTATACTGACTGGCTTCCTCTCTTTTCCACTTTTGTTCCACCTAGGTTACTATCCCACATGTCAGGTGCCTCTGGAAATACCCTCATGGGACACACCCAGAAGTCCTCTTTACTAATCTCTTAGGCATGTCTCAATTCGATCAAGTTGATAATTGAGATTAATCATTGCAAGTCCACCCGTTGCCTTCTTGACATCCAAACACATTTTCTTAAACTACCCTTAATCTCACAATAAAGACAATAACGAGGTCATAATTCTGCCGGATATGGTGTAACTATCCTGCATACAACAAATTCCTTCCCCACAAAGTCTTAAGAGTTTTGGTATTACCCAGAAGATCAAGTCCAAAGTTTCTTCTGCTATTCAAGTCAAACTCTTTTACCTGTGAATCCCAGTAAAAATCAAAACACAAGCTACATGCCTTTAAGATACAATATCACCAAGCAGACATTTCATTCCAAGAAGGAGGAATGGGGTACCAAAAGGAAGGATGAGACCAAAACAAGACTGAAACCCAGTAGGCAAACTTTAAATCCTGTAGCTCTGTGTCTGGCATCCAGGGCACATGGTGATATGATGTGGGCTTCCATAGGCTTGGGGAGCCACACCACAAAAGGCTTGCCATTTGTAGCCCATATGGCCTGCCTTTTGGGATGGCTCAGCTCATTGCCTGTAGTTTTCCTTATTAGATGTCCAATGTTCTTGGCATCTCCAACTTCCTGGAATCCCCATTGTATCTTTGGCTTCACTCTTCTTTCTTCACACATTGACCTCACAGGGGCTGCCTGTACTTTTACACATTGCCTGGCTTCCCACTGAAATCTGGGTAGAACGTTCTGTGATACCACAGTTCTTGCATTCTGCATACATGTAAAACCAGTGTAACATGGGCAATCACAAGGTCTACTGCCAGCTTGAGCAGTAGTCAAATTCCCTTGGACCATGGCTGCAGCAGCCTCTGAGTGCCTGGACTCCTGAACCCATAGAAACGCTTCCCTAGGTGGTACTTTGTGAGCAGGGTACTCAGACAGTGTTGTCTTCTCAAGGAAAGTCTTTCAAATGAGTTTATACTTTTTTTTTTTTTTTTTTGTGGTGCTGGGGATTGAACCCAGGGCCTGGGGCAATGCTAGGTAAGTGCTCTACCACTGAGCTACATCCCAACTCAAATGAGTTTATACTTTTAATACCCCTGGCTATGGGTGGGTTCTCAGATTCCTAAATTATCCCCAAGGCATCTTTCTTATGTTCCTGGTGAAAACTACTTGGCTTCCTTTTAATGGTACCAATTTCTTTGACAACCACACCCTTCCTGTCCACAGATTTAAAGACTACCTTTTATGAACAAACTACATTTTTCAGATCTGCTTTCTGCTCCAATTTGTCACTAGAAACCCAGCTAAAAGCAGCTACTAATCAGTAACAATGCCAAAGCCTGAATGCTGGGCTGAAATTTCCTTCTCAGATAAATTAATCTGTCACTTTAAATTCGGTCTCCCACAAGGTCTCAGGGCATGATCAAAATGTAGGCAAGTTCTTTTCCATAATGTAACATATGAAATATCTACATTCCAGTTCTCGATAGGGTCCTCATTCTCATCTGACATACCATGAGCCTGGCCTTCACTGTCTTCATTCCTGTCAGCATTCTGATCTTCTGAGCTCCCACCACAATCACCCACTGAGTTCTTAAAGCATTCGAGGGCTTTTTGAGCCTGCATCACCAAACACTTTCCAAATTTCTCCTATAAAGCAGTTCCATATGCTTCTGAACTTTATGATTAGGTAGTCGTGGTAATGACTCCACTTCTGGTACCAATTTTCTGTGTTAGTTTTTCATCACTGTGACAGCTACCTGAGAGTAAACAACTTAAAAGAGGTTTTTATTTTGGCTCACTGTTTCAGAGGTTTCAGTCCATGATCAACTGGCTCTGTTATCTGTAGTGAGACAGAACATCATAGTAACCTTATGGCAACCAGGAAGCAGATGGACAGGAAGGGTTTAGAGCAAGATATAGCCATAAGGACACACTCCCAGTGACCTACTTCCTCCAAATAAGCCCCACCTCCTAGTTTCTAGCATCTCCAAAGGAGTGCCAGCATCTGGGGACCAAGCCTTCAATACTGGAACCTTCACATTTCATATTCAGACACACACACACCACACACAACACACACACTCTCTCTCTCTCTCTCTCTCTCTCTTTCTCTCTCTCTGTCTCTTGGCATATGGCGATCTTCTCTGCCTTTGGATCTAACAGCAAAAAGGCTATCATTAGATGTGGCCCCTTAACCTTGCACTTGCACTTTCAGAACCATGAACCATAATAAATTTCTTTTGGTTAAAATTTATCCAGTCTTTTTTACTTTGTTATTGGTATCAGAAAGCTGACTAATATAGTAAGAAATGAACAATTAATTTTTATTACTTTTTCATTTGGATTTTTAAATCTTCTTTGATTGAGTCATCGGCACTCAATCAGTTTTTGAAACTGAACTTTTTTCATAGACTATATGTAGTGTTTCCACATTGTTCCTTTTATCAGTGAATGGCACCACCAGCTACCAATTTGACTAAACCAGACACATGAGCACATCTTTATTGATGTTCCATTCTCCCTCACCTATTTTATTTTATTGCCAATTCTGCCTTTTTTTTGAAAGTCTGTTTGACTTGCATTCTCTTGATACCTCTCTAGTTTAGGCCTTCATTTTACTTGTTTATATTATGCCTTAGTCTCTTAATAGCTCTATCTATATTGTTAACATCTCCATTTCATTATACAAGGCTGTGTGTGATCTGGTCACAACTTTGCTGCCTCCTTTCCATGTTATCTATTTTAGTATGTCCATTCTTTTTACTCAACTGAAGGTATAATAAGAAATGTGTCTTCTCCATCTTCTTTAGAATAACACATTAGACTCACCTTACTAGCTTTAAAAGATAATGCTTGGTTGTTTCTACAGACCAATTTAATCAGAGGAGGAGAGGAATGGGAGAAGTAGGTTGCATCAATATAGAAAATATTTGCAGGTAATTGAATGGGTACCAGCATTGAGAAGCACTGTTTGAAGCACATACTTCTCACCATTGATTTGTCAAATAGTCTTTGACCCACTTCTGGTCCATAAGACATGAAGGGAAGCTCTTTATAAGTTAACTTTACAAGGAAGTTTGTTCTTTTGAACACTGTCATATATGGATATGATAAGCTTGCTAAAGGTCAACAAATACAGTCAGCACTGGATACAAACCAAAGATGGAAAGAAACTTTATCCTTGTTTCTATCTCTTACTTGTTCAGTTAGCTAGCTCTGGAATCTGTCATACCTCTATACTTCCTATTATGTGAAAAAGACATTTCAGCTCTGAGAATGGATTCTTTTAGCTGGAAGCATTCTGCCACTTGAGCTATATCCCCAACTCCCTTGTTCGTATTTGTTCTTGAGATAGTGTCTTGCTCACTTTGCCTAGGCTGACCTGAAACTCACGATCTTCCTGCATGTACCTCCTGAATAGCTGGGATTATAGGCGTAAACCACTGTGCCCACCATTGTTATTGCTCTTTTTTAATATTTTCAAATTGTTTCTCAATATATTTTATCTATTTAGAATTTTAGCAGTAATAGGTATTTTTTACTCTTACTCATTGGATTTTATTTTTTGCAGTGTTTACTCTTGACATGTCACTAAACTTCTAATTTTGTAATGAAAATATTAGGCCTTTCTCATACTTTCTACAAATAATTTTTTACCGTTTTTGTTTCCCTTTCTGTGGTATTATTTTACACAAACTGTACTTAGTCAAAGATGTCACTTTCCAGCCATAATTTAAATATAAGAATCAGAACAGAAATGATATAAATATATACAGAAGTTAATGTGCCAACAGTTCTATGGAATAACAAAAAATGCTGATAACCTGAAAGCAGGTGGCATTTTCAGTCAGAAATTTCTGTATGTCTTCATACGTATTTTGTACTCTTTGGACCAGTTTGCTTCAGAGAGTATTATGTCACATAGGAAGTCTTTATTCTCAGCCAGTCAGTGGTCTAGAGCAGTTGCAGTTTTAATAGAAGAGGGCAAAAAATCAAGTAGGTTAAAAACCAAAGTGTGTGGCTTATTGAAGTTGATCTCATTTTTCTTCCAGAAACATGATCAGGGGCAAGTTCTGTTGGATATAGTTTTCAAGCATCTTGATTTGACTGAGCGAGACTACTTTGGTTTACAGCTGACTGATGATTCTACAGATAACCCAGTAAGTTTATGCTTTCATGTTCATTTTAGTTTTCCCTTTGTTCATTCAAAAATTCCTTTCTGATGAATAATTCTTCCTGATTTAATGGGCTTTACGTTTTTAGTTTCAAAATTACAAGTAATTCTTTTGCCCTCGTTCCCCTTTTCTTGATGTCTGAATCTGTCAGAAATTATTGCCCTTAAGGTATTCATAACTACAAGTTAACCTGTAAATCTAGTGCCAGTTTCATTTACTATTGTGTCTCAGAACTGAAAAGTAAGTCTAATTCATGCCTGTTAACCTAACAGAAAACTGGACATAAAGGCTAAGATATCTTGAAACTTACACAAATTCATCTCCACTAAAGTGAAATTAGTTTCTTCTGATGATCATGGATTGCTGTTTCTAACCAAAATCTTAATTTGTTCAGTGTAAATTTTCCAAGAAGGAATATTCAAAAGAGACCCTCCTAAATGAGCTAGAGATTTAAATCCAGAGCTGCACAAATCTTTGGCATTAAGTTCCTTAGCTTTGTAGTTATTAAAAACATCAGATCATAGAAACAGAAGATATCATGTAGTGAGTAATAGAAATGTTCACTTTGACAGTTTAGCATTTTAAATTGCACTAAAGAAATCATCTGTTACGAACCTAGACAAAGAATATATGAGCAAATTTTGGTTGGATTCTTATAAATTTATGTAGTTATACCATGAGAGACTTTTATAGAAAACATGGTATCCTTTTGATTAAGAGGAGTCCTCTTTTGCTTTGGGTTTTTTGAGACAATGTAGCAAAGGCTATCTTTGTGCCTTTAATCCTTCTGCCTCAGCCTCCCAAATGCTGAGTTTACAGGTATGTAACAACATGCCCACCCAAGAGGAGTCCATTTTAAAGGAAACATTTTGCATTGTTTAGAAAAATTTGGAAGCTAGAGAAATGATCTTCTAGATCAGTGTTTGAGAAATCCATTTATAAGGCTACATTAATAGAATAGCTATAGAAAATGCCAATCACATTTACGATAAAAGTAGGTTTGTTTTTGTTTTTTTCTCTGGTGGGTCAAATCCTAGTTACCTGAATGAATGTGTAATGGATAGTAAATATGAAATGTTAACTATTTGTTACTTTTTGTCTTCGTATAATTTGATTTTATATTATAAACCAACCAGGGAAAAATATGAGGATGATGTGAGTGAAAACAAATCAAGGGCCAGGTGGGACTCAGTGAGAAAATGCTTTTATAACTAATTAAAATGAAAACAAACTCTCTTCATGTTCTGATGCAGTCACCAAATGACTTGCATTTGTAAGGACACAAAGTTATACTATCAGTTCTTGATAAATAAACCCACGTAAAAATAGAAGTGATTAGAAGTGAATTACAGGAATGCACCCTCATGCCTAACTTACCATAATGTTTGATCCTTCTAATAGTTTGTGTTATATTTCACTGGCTTGCTCCTGTTTTGTGTAATAGTAATTTTTAGCATATGTTAAATGAGGAATATAATGAAGAAGGTGGTTATAAGTCACTGTGTAATTTTAAAAGCAGTCATAGGTAGCTATTCCTTAAGGCCTTTTATCATCATGCTGTTTATCAAAGCTTTGATATTATATTATTCCTGTACATTTCATTGTCTTTTCTAAATTGAATCTTAGTATGCGTCAGTAGGACCAAAGGTAGATTATGATTACTGTTGGCTTTAATCTTTCTGAAAATTCATCCTTGTGATAATTGTGCTGTGTTTATATTTCGCTGGTTTGCTCCTGTTTCCATGTTTGCTAACTTGTAGTTCTCAAATTTGATCTTTCCTGGAAATCAACTGGAAGGAAGGCTTCTTAAGATACAAATTTCTGGGCCCTATGCCTAGAGTTTCTGATTTGAAAAGTCTAATATAGAACTCAAGAATTTGCCTTTCAAAACTTTCCCTGTTTTGCTAGTCCAAAGAACCACATTTTGAAAAACACTGCTCTAACTCAATAAACTGAAGTCATACTGAAGTATGACTTAATCCATTTGGAATAGTTTTGATTTATCCTTTGAAGATTTCTTTTACATGACTCAAGATTCTTCAATTATTTATCATGTTTGGGGAAATATAGGAACAAATCAAATAGAGTCCATGATTTAGTGTAACATAGTTGATAAAATATTTATCAATATTTCTCTCATGTGTTTCTACTGTAATGCCTCTGGCTCTTACTACGTGTTGTAAAAACCTCTTCAGTAGCTTGATAAATGCTTTTTTTTTTTTTTTGGTGGTGGTGGGGTGCTCTGTTTTAACCCCATTGCATTTTAGGGAGGAAATTACAGAGGGAGCTGAGGCAGAGAAGCATTTCAGAAAGAAGCAGCAGCATATGCAAAAATTTAAAATGAGACAGGAATGCTTTAAGGAATTTTTTTAAATGTTTTGTTGTTTAGTGCAGTTGTTTGCACTGTAATCCCAGTTACTCAGGAGGCAAAGATTGGGAGGTTCATGGTTTGAAGCCAGCCTGGGCAAACAGTTAGTGAGACCCATCTCACAAGTAACCTGCTGTGATGTTGCATGCCTATGATTCAAGCTATGTAGTAGGCATAGGTCAGAGGATTGAGGTCTAAGGAAGGCCTGGGCAGGCAAAATGCAAGAACCTATCAGAAAAATAACAAAAGTAAAAAAGAACTGGGACTGCGGCCCAAATGGTAGAGCACCTGCCTAGCAAGCATAAGGTCCTGTGTTCAAACTCCCAACACTACCAAAATAATAAATGAATGAATGAACATTTTAATTTGGTTGGAAGATAGAGTAGAAGAGGTGCAAGATGAGGATTGAATAGTATATGACATATTGAAGTACCTTTTAATCCATGATAAGATTATACTTACCTGAGGATTCATTTATTCAACAAACATGAGACTTGTATTTTAGATAGATCTCTCTGGCTGTATTGTAGCCAGTGACTAATAGATTTGCAAATGAAAGATAATTGGAAGATTGTTAGAACAACAAAGTTCTTATGAAAAGTAATGGTTTTGTTGGGGGAGGATGAAGAGAAGTTAAGTGCTAGAGATAACTAGGAAATAGAGTCATTAAGAATTGTTGATTTGGGTAAGGTAGAATGAGTTCATTAGGGAAAGGAATTAAACTCACTCCAGTAGCATTTTTGTAAATTCCATAGGATTTTCTACACAGATTTTCATCTCCATATGTGGTAAGTTGCATTGATTTTCAAATTTAAACCTAACTTGTATTCCCAAGATAAGCCCCAGTATATACAATGGGTTGTATATTAATCTTGTATTTGAGACCTTGCTGAATTATGCTTGTAGTGGTTTTACTTTTTTCATTGATTCCCTATAATTTTCTGTGTAAATCATGTCATATGTGAATAAGGACAATTTTTTTTCTTCCTTTCCAATATTTATTCTTTTTTTTTTTTCCCCTCTATTTTTTCATTTGTTACTGCACTGGCTGAGACCATCAGGACAATGATGAATAGGAGTGATTGGACAGACTACCTTGTCTTCTTCCCTATCTTAGGAAGAAGGTGAACCCTGAAGTTACTACAAAAATAATGGTTGGCTAGGGGGTTATTAAAGAAAATTGAGTATTGGACATAATTAGGAGATAAAGTCATCAGATTTTGTGGTTCACCATCAAGTGTGCTGTTAGGTTAGCTATAGGGTTTTTTTTTAAATCCTAAATCAATGTAATTGAAGCTGATTTACATAAAATAAAATTCAACATCCACTCATAATGAAACCCTACACCAAAAAAAGAAGTTTTTCACAATGAAAAAGGATATCTACTAAACACTCTGACTAATGCATCAGGGAAATCCAAAGTAGAGCCACAATGAAATGTTAGTACACACTCACTAGAATGCTTAAAAATTCTTACAATAACAAGTGTTGGCAAGGATGTGGAACAGTAATAAGAATTGCTTATAAGAGGTGGCAAGGTTTATATAATCTCAGTGCTGTGGGCATGGGGGAGGCGCTGAGTCAGGCGATTTGTGAGCTTGAGGCCAGCCTGGGCTATGCAGTGACTTTGAAGCCAGCTTGAGCTACAAAGGAAGACCCTGTCTCGAAAAGAAAAGTTTGTAAGAATTTTAAAAGATAAAACCACTTTGGAAAATAGTTTGGCAGTTCCTTGTAAAATTAAGTACACATTTAATATATACTACCCAGGAATCCCACTTTTAGGTATTTATTCAAGAGAAATAAAGAAATCATATAAAACCTCATACACAAATATTCACAGTAGCATTTTTGGAATGTACCTTAATGTCCATTTGCAATCTAACAGAGGAAATTTGCTGCATATCTATACAGTGAAAAACACTGTGTGACTGATTCCATTTATATTAAATAGTACAACAAGAAAAACTGATACATGAGACCAGAAGCCCGGGTTGATCTTGCTGTCTGGGGCTGGGGACATTTTGCAAAGGGACACTGGGAACATGTTCAAGTGGTAGAAATATTTTGATTTTGGTGGTGGTGGTTATCTGGTTGTAATATTTCTCATACCTTAAACTATATATTGAAAACAGGTACATGTAATTCAACTGAATCCACAGTCCATATTCTGGTTCCTGTTGGGAACCACTCATTTCTTCAGGGTTCTACTTACTTCTTTTTTTCATGGGACTCTTAAATCTTTTTGTATATGCATAGTTAATCTGTGAACCAGAATTGAGATAATGTTTATTCTGGTTTTGGAACTAATCATCTATACTGAGTCCTGCCCTTTCAGGAGTTCATCCTCAGTTTTCTGGAAGTTCTGCCAGTTCTAAAATGCTGTCTTCTGACACCAGTAAGGCTGCCCCCTCCCTTATGAAAGATTTGAGCTTTCCCTCAAGCAAAAAACTGGCAGTGTATAAATCTCGCCTATTACAGCTTTTTTATTTTTCAAGAGTAGATATTATTCCTATTTCTGCCTGCATTGGGTTACTTTCCAGTGTCAGACAGTGTACACACACAGGCACCCATACTATATAAGAAATTTTAAGGATTTCTTGGAAGATTGAATCTTGAT